AAAAAAAAAAAATAAGTTACACGGACCACAGTTCTGATCAATTTTGATTCTCCAGTTTTTCAACCAAGATAAATCTTTTAAAAAAAAAAAAGCTGAAATTCAAGGACTTACAGTTGATTTAGACGACAAATTCAATGTAATACAGTTAAGAGGTACTGTATTTGTGTTGGATATGGTAAGTACGTAGAATTTTATATTATCTAAAATAGATTTTGTTGAAGAAGCGTAATGCAGCACTCCTCTTAAACCATTTGAGTCGAAAATTTGTATACATTGTTGGTCACCTAAAAAGTTAATTATCAACTTCATAGTAGTATCGAGTTAATCCTTAAATTAAAAATCCTGTCTATTTGTGCTCTGATATTCAGCATCTCTCATACTTTTTATAAAAAAAGCACTTTTTCAGAGTTTTTTAGTTAACAGCTGCAAATGGTTTAATGCAATAATTGGTCAACATTTAAACTAAAATAATTGTTTCCTCAAATTGACAGTGAAAGTATATTTTCATATTTGCTACAAACAAAAGTAAAATAGTTAAATAAACCAGTTTTCCAGGTTAAATGACTAACTAAAATAAGTTTTTTTTCGGTGCATCAAATCTGCAACTAGTGAGAAAATTGACAGTTATTACAGCATAAGAAGAATGAAGAAATACAAATCAGTTGCCATTACCAATGTGAATGTCACTAAAGTCGCATAGGATGTTTTGTAGAACAGTTGTTGCTATTTCGCTTTCCTAGAAATATAATTGAGCTTTAAAAGACGTGATCTGCCCAGAAAAATAAGAAGAGATGACATTATTGAACAAGGCTTGTACTTTGAACATTGCATTACTACCGTCTAGACAATTGTTTGTTTCTGATGTTAAATAAAAAAAACGTCAGTTGGCTTTGGTATACTTTTTTATCTTTGCTGTAAAGCTGTTTTAAAACTTAGAAGTACTTATAGAATCTTGAAAATAAATAAGAAAATACTGTGAGGCAAATAAAATAAAAAAAAAAAAACAAAAAAATTTTTTACTGAAGGTTCAGTTTTGGAAACAAAAGGATCAAGCAAGTCCAAAGAAGCCTGAAGTTCGGGAACGCTGTCATCATTTTTACGGTCACTGCCCTTGTCCGATTCGTCCACCTTTTTACTGAAAAGCTGTCTGCAATTTTCATATTAAAGTAAACCATCAGTACTAAGTATGTTTAGCCATTGTAAGCTAAAATTTGTAGCGGTAACATAGAAATGTACAACGTTTAATGTACTTAGTTTTATTATCTGGTGGAAAAATGTCCGCCTCAATCAGTAAAGTTAAAGCGTCAATAGCATCGCGGTCACATTTGCTGTCGTTGACAATATTTTCCTCAGAAGTACCCACCAATATAAGCGGCTCATCATCTTGCCTAGAAGTCATAAGTTATTTCTGATCAGTCTTCTTTAAGAATTTGCTTTATTTTAATGGCGGAACTGCTTGACTTTGAGAAATCTTTGAAAGCAAACAGCAAATAAATTGGTTAAAAAAATCTAAGTAATTAAGCAGGTGGACTTGAGTGGTACTGCCGTTGAAGTACTGGCTTCAGCATGAATAAAATTGGGATTAAAAAAGGAGTTTCCAGGCTCCATACTCTTTTTTTGCGAAGCAAGATTGAGTTTTTTTTCCTCTAAGCTAGCTGATGTTGGTTTTATCTAAAATAAGTTATTCTACAGCGACAACAATTAACCTTATCAAAGTTTTATCAGTAATTCAAATTACATAAAAGCTGTAGAACTTTTCGTACATGGAAAAATTTAGAAAAAAGCGATCAACAAAGAAGAACGATAATATAAAGACGGATCCTCCATTTATGACTTTACTTCCTGAAATAGTCGATGTCAATATTTAGTCGAGTTTAGAGTTAGCCACCTATAGCAGTAAAATTTTTGACGTTCAAAGTTTTTGGAGAGACTTTTGGAGGTCTAGAAGAGAAGAATGATGAAATAAAAGAAAATTTGAAGGAAAAGCAAAGAAAATTATTAAAAAAAAGGGTTTTTGTGAGGGAAAAAAAGACCGCAAAAAACTAAAAGCATGGACATTGCAAAAACTCCCATGTATATAGCTGTTTTTTTTGCAAAAATGAGACCAGCCACAACTATCACTTATATCAAAGAACTTTAACACCTTGAGATTGAATAACGACAAAATCTTTGTAGGTATTTGAAAACTCACTGGAAAAGACCTTTCAGCCCCGTGACAAATATGATCTAGCCAGTCACAAACCTCTTCCGCACTCTTCCATGTACAGTTTGCTTGATACCACAATACTAGTTTTGACTGAATTTAACAACATATCGCATTCTTTATCAAATTTTGCAGCCCTCCATTTCAACCTGTTTTCTTGAGAGAATTTTATTGTTTTTGTTTTGTACAATGGTATTTTATTCGACTTCGCAGCTGCGTGTAATCCTGGGCAAAATAATTACTAGTTGAGTCCAATAAAATGTTGCCAAAACGAGTTCAGCTAACTGTTGTTTGCTCAGCTTACCGCCCCAATTTATTGATAAAACTATAATGATGTGCTCAAGAAGTTTTCTCTTTAAAAACCGTTGTGACTATTATAACAAGGATTTATATCTGTTGCTAGTTTTTGGTAGCACAGACTAGACTAGGTACAGGTGCTGAATTTACGAGTATTTTTTTCGCTGGATTTCCAAGAACTAGCCTTGGCAAAACTGTACTGTTTATGAAAACTGACCACAAGATTGGAGCCTCTCACTAAGTTTCTTCCAAGACCGCATCACACCTAAGCAATGACAGAAAGAGAAAAAAGTAATAAATGGTACAGGAACGCTTAAAAAAAGAAAGAACAGACAAAGAATCAGTTTTAAAACGGCATAACAAGATACAACATTTAATCACTGTTTCAAAACATGTAATCAAATTTATGGTAAAACAGAAACACGACTGTGTAAAACAAGTGAAATATGAAATATTAAATAAATCATTGAGAAGAGAAGAAATAAAGTAAGCGAAGGAAACAGACATAGTTTTATTTACAGTTGCAAATATTTGTGAACACAATCTCTGTATATAAGAGCGAACGAGAATCAGCAATAAAAAATAATTGTAATAATTTGCAAGCTTGCTTGAAATAGATGGATAGACGGTTTCTTCATCCAAACTTGATGGATTTCCCACCCTGGTGCCAAACTACTTTTTCCTTTGATAAAAAAGTCATTTCTTTAGTGTCAAAATCTTATCGCAACAAGCTTCAAAATGAAACTTTCTTCTCCAGGCAATCACATTTTTTTCTTACAAAATTTTGAATTTTTCAGCGTACTGCGTCTGTATTTTTCTGATTTTATAACGATTCAGACAAATGACCTACTCATTTTCGCAGTTAATTTGCTACTGTGTCCTACTAATTTTGCTCTCCCAAAAACTTAAACAAAAAGAAGTATGCAAACTGAGACAAAACTCCGGTGGTTCAAGGTTTTCAAGAGTTCTGAATTCAAAAAAATTTTGGAACAGGATTCTTTATAAATCTCATAGATTTTTGGTGAACGCAGCTGCATACGTATTTCCCACATGGAAACGACTCTCAAACTTAGCGCAGCGTGAACCTAGTTTTAATCTTAAAAGTTGCTGTAACTTAACGATAAGGATAAGCATTTTATATCAATTTTTCAACCATATTAGTTCTTTTTAATAATTCCTGTTTAACAGTTTTTAATTTCAATAGTGGTAAAATTATAATCTTT